CTTCATCATCATCCTTATCCTCCTCACCCTTCCCTCGTCATCCTTCCTGCTTCTCCTCTCTTGGCATTATCATCACTCCTATTTCCGCATCTTCCTCCTTCTCCTACCTCGTCTTTCTCCTGCATCTTCTTCCTTGTCTCCTCCCTCCCATCATTACACAATAATCCTTATGTCGTTGAAGCTTGTCCATGCCCCGAGGCGTCCATGAGTTTTTCGTTGAAGTCTGGGATCTCCAATTTTGCCTGACTGGCTTCACATCGCCCTCTGGAGAGACCATACAACGTCTACAAAGGCAGCAGTATTACCCTAAGACGTCATAAACACCATGTGGTTCTGGATTCTCATGGCACGGTCTCTCGTCCTCGCTGTGCCCTGGCGCTCCGGCTAGCCAGAACTTGAGCGCACTCGAAGCGCACGCGGTGGTTCTGGTTGGATATGGGCATCCTTCGGCACCCCTGGGACCCGAAGCTGTACAGCCTCCTGCCCTGAGATCCAACGTCACGAAAACATGCAACATCGTAGACGCCACAACCGGGACCCTCGACCCCGTCTTTCTGCAGCATCTCTCGACCAGGATCCACCGGCCGAGGGCCCCACGGCCTGGCTGGGCAAGAGCGCCCAGCGTGAACCCCAAGATCTCGGGGCAGGGGCCAGAGACATCGCCCCCACAGGTGGTGGACACGTAACAACGACACCAGCCTGAGGAGGCAACCCCTGGGCGGTTCGCTTCAGCATCGCCGCTGGCAGATCCGTGGTCGAAGACGGGCCTCGTTTGACACAATCCCGCCAAATGCCGCTGGACACCGCGCAATCTGGCGCAATCGGGCTTGATCCTGGAGTTCTGGCCCAGTATGGTTCAGTGGCCCCTGAATCGGGCTGAGTGGCCCGCAATCGCCCATCGGTCGTTGAAAGTAGGTATTTTTGGATTGCCAGATTCCAATCTACTTTGCGCGCCTTCCTACTTCAATGATCGAGTGGCTTCACCTCTTCCCTTTCCAAAGGGGGCGGGCGGACACACAACGAAGACCTCCCAGGAGATGCCTCCTGCTCCGAGTTTCCGGATCAGCGTCGGGGGGGCGCCACCACAGCCTCGCATCGGCCCCCTTCGCGGGCAGCCACCGCGCGCCGAAGGCGCTCCGACCCCCGTCGCGGCGCGACGACGAGGCGAGGCCCAGCCCCGTCGGGGGGGGCTACCCCCCACACTTTTCACGAAACCCAGGGCAGCCAGCCTCGGACGCCCCCTCCAGCAGCGCCGCTGTGGCTCGAGCCGCCCGGGCTCGAGCAGCGCGCCCGCCGACCGGGCGCGAGGCTTTTCCAAGTCGTGGCCGCCGCCCCCCGCGGCCGGGGCGGCCAGGAGGCACCCCCATCGCTGGGATCGGCTACGCGTAGGTTCGATGCTCGGCGTGAGGGCCTCCCTGGGGCCACCTGGCGGATCCGTTCGGCTGGAGTTCGAATCTGGCTCGGCTCCTAGTTCGACTCTAGCTCGACTCATGCTCGGAGGAGGAGGAGGAGGAGGAGGAGGAGGAGGAGGAGGAGGAGGAGGAGGAGGAACAGACTCAAGTCCGCGGACGTTCGACGCAGCATCGACGCACGAGTGGAGCGAGTGTCTCCAGGAAGGTCCCCAGAAAGAGCATCGAACGTGAGAGAGTGGCCCTTCGCTGGAGTGACCTTTGGTGCGCGGCTTTCGGGGCGCGCGCGGGGGGGCCCAAAGGCACCAATGCGGCCACCCCTCCCTCGATTTCGCCTTGTTGGGCCTCCTGGGAGGCCCTCGTCGCCGCGTGGATTCGCCTCGAACTTCCGGTCCGAATGCACCCCGGGAGAGGTCCGGGGAGTAGCGGCATGAGGAGGAGGAGGAGGAGGAGGAGGAGGAGGAGGAGGAGGAGGAGGAGGAGGAGGAGGAGGAGGAGGAGGAGGAGCGGCATCGGTACCTTTTTGGTTTCCCCCTGTCGGGGAGCGTGGGGGGCCAAACCTACACACGCGTGCCGCCAGAGTCGCGTCGAGTGCATCGATCGGCAGGCCGCGCACCAGGGGCCACTCTTGTCCAGGGGTCGCGTCCTGCGCGTAGCCGCTGGGAGGCGGAGCGCTCGATGTCGCTCCTGCCGGGGCAGGCGCCCACCAAGAAGCTGAGACTGGACGAGGCGCTGAAGCCAGCAGGACTCGGGTGTCGAGATCTGCGCACGCGCACGCCGGTCGTTGAGAGTAGGTATTTTTGGGTGCCCAGATCCCAATCTACTTTAGCCGCCTTATTACTTCAAAGGCCGAGCGGTTTTCCTTCTTCCCTAATCTTCAAGGGGCGGGCGGAAACCCAATCCACTTCGAAGAAGAAAAAGCGCCATAAACATAAACTTTTTGCGCTCCGCGCGGATTTCTTGGATCCGCGCCTGGCCCCCACGCCTCGGGCGTCGCCCCTGGCGCGCTCCGCGCGCCAGGGAGGGAGGCCCAGAGCGAATCCAAGAAGTCCGCGCGGAGCGCCAAAAGTTTATGTTTATGCTGTTTTTTCTTCTTCTACTACTTCCGACGCCTTCCTACTTCATGGCTCTATCTACTTCTTCCGTCCGACGGGTGCAGTCGAGACGCTGAAGTGAGGACCACTCTTTGCTCAGGAGAGGCTCTGGCCTTCGGGCCGCTCCAGGGGCCCCATCGGCCCAGAAACCCATTCGCTGCCGCGGCTCGCCGCGGCCAGAAGAGCCGCTCGCTACTGGCTTTAAGTCGGGCGTGTCCCTCTACAGGGGGAATCTTCAAACATGGTAAAAAAGATCGGCTGGGGACGATTTTTGGACTATCTTTGATGATTTTTGGGGGGTGCTTGTTGTTTTTTTTTGTTCGCCCGAGATCCCGCTGTAGGGGGACAGGCCCGACTTTACTCCCCGCGCCGGCGCGATGCCTGCACGACGGCCCTGGCGTCTGGCCAAGGATGCTGCCGTGACTGGCAGCCGCGAGTGGTCTCGAATTCTCCGCCCGGGCTGACGCCGCCGAGAGAATTTATGCATTTTTTAACATTATTATTCTTATTATTTTTCTTTTTTTGTGTAGTATCATTATTATTAATATTTTTTTTTATTTTATAGTACTATTATTATATTTATTATTGTTATTATTATTTATCATTATTATTATTAGTATTATTATTTTTAATTACTGTTATTATTATTACTACTACTATTATTATTCTTATTATCATTATTATTATTATTCGTCTTACTATTAGTATTATTATTATTCTTATTCTTATTATTATTATTACTATTATTATTATTATTATTATTATTATTATTATTATTATTATTACTATTATCATTATTAATATTATTATTCTTATTATTCTTCTTCTCCTTATTATTACTATTATTATTATTATCTATCTATTTATTTATTTATTTATTTATTTATTTATTTAGTTATTTATTTATATATTTATTTATATATATATATATGGTTTGAGGGTTTGTCGTAGACAAACCGCTGCGCATTGCCTCCCCCCCGGCCGAGCCCGGGAGGCCGCCGTTCGCGGCCCGCCGTGGCCAGGAGGAGGGTCCCTGGTTCCCAGGGCGCCCTCGAGGGCGCGAAGCAAAATTCGCGCTTCGCGCTTCGCGCTTCGCGCTTCGGTCTTCGCGCTTCGGCTCCTCCTCCTCCTCCTCCTCCTCCTCCTCACCTCCTCCTCCTCCTCCTCCTCCTCAGCCTCCTCCTCCTCCTCCTCCTCCTCCTCCTCGGCGCTCCTCCTCCTCCTCCTCCTCGGCCTCCTCTTCTCCCCTGGGAGGCGGCGCGAGAGCGCGAGGTGGTGCCGGGAGCCCGCGTCACATTTCAGACTGGGCCTCGTCGTGGGCATCCGGCCAACCCGAGTCCCCCGTACGCGAGTCTTACGTCTCCCCGACCTGTGTCAGCGCGATGCCTGCACGGCGAGCCTGGCTGGGCCTAGCCCGGTCCCAGGATCGCCGTGCAGGCCTCTCTGGCCGAGCCAGGAAGTCGCATTCACACCGATCCTGGGGCTGCGTAGGTGTCTCGTTCTTGCGCCCTCCCGGCTGAGGATATGAGGGCGGCGTGGGCCGAGGCGCCAAGGTGCCCATGCAGACTCGCGCGGACATGGGCTTCGGCGGCGCCGTGCCGCCGAAGAGAGGCACCGACGCCATGTTCGGCAACGCCCCTCCGGGCTACGTGCCCGGGCGTGGCCGTGGCGCCACGGGCTTCATCGGCGGCGTCAGCCGAGACGAGGTCGACCGCGACGACGACAAGGCCGACCTCGGAGACTCCAACTACGACGAGTTCAGCGGCTACTCGGGCTCGCTCTTTTCCAACATGGAGTACGATGAGGAGGACAAGGAGGCGGACGTCGTCTACGACCGCGTGGACGTGAAGATGGACGACCGCCGCCGCAAGCAGCGCGAGAAGAAGATGCGCGAGCAGATCAGGCCTGGGCAGCCAAAGCCCTCAGGGATGTCGGCCGATGGGGGCTGCGGCACATGCGCCGATCCTGGCCAGACTCCTCCCGGGCCCAGGATCGGAGCCCACGCCTCCGTGGCCGAGCTGGCAGGGCGCGCGCACCGTGCCCAGGCCTGCCCAGGAGGAGCTCGGTCAGGGCCGGTGTGCGTGCGCACTGCTCGCCTCTCGGGGACAGCGCCGCCCCCGCTCGGCGAGGGGTGATGGTCGCCGGTGCCCGTGCCGCGGCCGCGGAGCCTGGGCTGAGCGGTAGTGGTGGTGGTCGTCGCCGCCGCCACCGCTGGTGCCTCCGTCGCCGTCGCCGGCTTCGGAGCCTGGGCGGAGTGGTACGGTCGGTTCGTGTTGTGTCGACGCGGCGGCGACCTGGCCGCGGGCGTTCAAGGTTCAACGCCGCCAGTGGCCCAGACTCGGCCAATGCGGAACGATCCGGCGATCGAGAAGCCCCGAGAAGCCACTCGCCGTAGTCAACTTTGTCGTCGTCTTCTTTGCCGTCGTCGTCGTCGTCGTCGTCGTCGTCGCAAGGGCGCGCCTTGGGAGTCGTCTTCTGTGCAGGGCCCCGCGGTGGAGGCCGAGTCTCATGGTGCCTGTGGTTTGAGGTGCCCTGGTCAGGGAGCTCCGCGCCGAGAAGCCCACTATCCAGCAGCAGTTCGCCGACCTTAAGCGCGAGCTGGCGACCGTCAGCAACGAGGAGTGGGAGGGCATCCCAGAGGCGCAGGAGCACCTGAAGGTGAAGGGGCGCAAGGCCACGAGCTTCACTCCAACGCCAGACGCGCTGCTGGCGGGCATGATGGGAGGTGGCAACAGGGCGGTCGGCGGCGCCGCCACGCCGCTGGGCGGCGCCGGCACCCCGCTGGGCGGCGGCTTCGGCACGCCGATGGGCCTGCGGACCCCAATGGGGCTGCGCACGCCGACAGGTCTGCGCACCCCTATGGGCCTGCGCACCCCGATGGGCCTGCGCACCCCGCATGGGGCTGGCACGCCGATGGGCATGCACACGCCGATGAGTGGCATGCACACGCCGATGGGCATGCACACGCCGATGAGCGGCATGCACACGCCGATGGGCATGGCCACGCCGATGGGCATGCGGACACCGATGGGCATGGCGACGCCAATGGGAATGCATACGCCCATGGGCATGCACACGCCGATGGGGATGCGGACGCCAGGCATGCGCACCCCAGGCCTCCGGACCCCAGGCACTCCGCACACGCCCCATGGCGGGGGCGGCTCGCTCAACGACCTCGGGGAGGCGCGCGGCACCGTGCTTGCAGTGAAGCTGGATAGGATCATGGACAGCGTGACGGGTCAGACCGTCATGGACCCGAAGGGCTACCTGACAGATCTGAACGCACTGCAGGTGCAGTCCGACGCAGACATCAGCGACATCAAGAAGGCGCGCACGCTGCTGAAGAGCGTGATCACCTCCAACCCGAAGCACGGCCCCGGTTGGATCGCCGCGGCCCGCCTGGAGGAGGTGGCCGGCAAGGTGCAGTCCGCCCGCCAGCTCATCGCCCAGGGCTGCAAGCACTGCCCCAACAACGAGGACGTTTGGCTCGAGGCCGCGCGGCTGGAGAAGCCCCAGAACGCGAAGGCAGTCGTCGCGAAGGCGGTGAAGTCCCTGCCGCACAGCGTGCGGCTCTGGATCGACGCGGCGAACCGCGAGCAGGACGTGCAGGCGAAGGCCCGGGTGCTGCGGAAGGCCCTGGAGTTCATCCCGAACTCTGTCCGCTTGTGGAAGGATCCAGGCCTCCCAAAGTGGGTTCGAGTAGATGGGGTCAGAGAATCGCGCCGCATCGCCGATGCACCGGCGACGCTGCTCGATGTGGAGCTCGATTTCCTCCACACCGAGGGCGCCGATGCAGCGCCGGCGTCGCCGATGCATCGCCGATGCGTCGGCGATGCGTTGGCGATGCGGCGCGATCCTCCGACCCCATCTGCTTGGACTCCATGCGGGAGACCTCCGAGGAGGCTGTCAGTCTGGAGGACGAGGTGGAGGCCCGCGTGATGCTCGCGCGCGCCGTGGAGTGCGTGCCCCACAGCGTGGAGATGTGGCTGGCCCTGGCGAAGCTCTCCTCGTACAAGGAGGCGCAGCGGGTGCTCAACGAGGCCCGCAAGCACATCCCCACCAGCCCGGTCATCTGGGTCACGGCGGCGAAGCTCGAGGAGACTCAGGGCAACGAGAAGATGGTCGAGCTCATCCTCACGCGTGCCATCGACTCGCTCGCGGCGAACGGTGTCACGCCAGACCGTGACATGTGGCTCTCAGGCGGAGAAAAGCACACAGACACAATTAATCGTCGATTCCCAGGAAAATGTGGGAAAATCAGGGGAAATATGATAGGAAGTGGGGGGGAAGACGAAAACCCAGAAAATATTGGGAAATACGGGGAATCTTGGGATTTGTGTGTGTTTTTATTTGTGTGTCCTGGGGCCCCAGGCTGAAGCAGGCCGAGGAGGCAGAGAAGACCGGGTTCATCAAGACGTGCCAGGCCATCGTTAAGGTCACCATCAAGGTCGGGGTCGACGAGGACGTCAAAGGCATGAAGCAGAACTGGATCCAGGACGCAGACGCGGCCATCAACAGAAACTCCATCGAGGTGTCGCGTGCCATGTACAATAACGCCGTCATGCATCTGAAGAACAAGAAGGGCCTCTGGCTACGACTCGCGGAGCTGGAGACGAAGTACGGCACCTCGGAGTCCCTCGACAACGTGCTGCAGCGCGCGGTCACGTACTGCCCACACGCCGAGATCCTGTGGCTCATGGCGGCCAAGCAGAAGTGGCTCCGCGGAGACGTCGCGTCGGCCCGCCGCATCCTCGCCGAGGCGTTCAGCCACTCCAAGGACTCGGAGGCGATCCACTTGGCCGCCGTGAAGCTGGAGAGCGAGAACAACGAGATCCAGCGTAGCCGCCTGCTTCTCGCGAGGGCTCGGCAGCAGTGCAACACGCCGAAGGTGTGGATGCAGTCCGTGCAGCTGGAGAGGGAGCAGGGCCTCTTCCAGCAGGCGCTCCACCTCTGCGAGGAAGGCCTGCGGGAGCACCCCTCCTACGCGAAGATGTGGA